CCAAAGAGTAGCTACCTGCGTGTTCAGTTACCCGGGGAGTTAATGAGGCTGGGACTCGCTACTCGAGCTGCCGTCGGATTGCATCTATTTCGTTCAAAAAACAGGCGAAAAGGCGTATTGGTCACCGTCTGCATCTCGGCCGGCAGCATAATGCAACGCGTTCATGCCCAACTGGTCCACCGCCCTCAGCTCCGACAGCTGCGATCCCGGATGCGGGATGGCGCGCCGTCTGAGGTTTCCAATGATCTGTGCGCGTACAATGGGCGGGGAAGGGGGCCCCGTACAATGGAAAGGTGCATTTGTGTGCGCTTTGACCCAGGCATGTGCGCCACGGACGGTTTCTGGCCAAGCAGGCGGCCGTCTGATGCGTTTTCTCGGCGCAAGGTAGCAGCAGTGCAACGCGCCTCCATGCAAGAAAAAACCTACCACGTAAAACAGGCCAAGACATTTTCTAGAAGGATGGAGACATTTTGGGTAAAGAACATGCGTCAGGGCGGTAGGTCCGACATCAAAACCCTACGATAGCGAGGCGATCTCAGTAGCGTCGCAACAAATCTCACCTTAGCAGCAGGCACCCGGGGCTACCAAACCGCCGCTGCCCACCGTTGGCGATACAACGATAACCCGAGCCCCCAAATTGCGTGTACAAACACCTGCGGCAGCTATCCGCACAGACACTTCTAGAGCAACGGGGACTAGAACCAGAAGATAATGTTTACGCAGGAAATGATGGGCAATCATCCTTCACTCACTAGCTCCACGCAAGAGGGAGACGGGCAGCCGGCGGCAGCCATCAGCGCGGTCGCGCCTTCCGCCGTTCTCGCCAGCACCACCGGGACGTGGGTGCGGGGGGTCTCGGCCGGCACGCCGTTGATCACGTGACTCGTCATCTCGTCGGCTAACTCCCTCTCGACTCTACTGTCCTGTTTTGAGCGAGAAGAAGCGCCGGGGGCGAGGGGCCGGGGGGGAGGGGGCGCAAATCAGACGAAGAAAAATACGCCGTCTCTTTCAAGCCGGGCATGCTCATGGATAAACGCGCTCCGCGGTCTATTTTGCACGAGCGGAGGGGAAGATACGGGTTCGTTGAGGCAAAATCCATCGAAAATCAAGCTGTGGAACTCGATACAACCGCCAGCCGACTGTCGCAAAACGGCAGCACAACTGAAAGAATAATAGCGGTGCGCGCTCCCTGGGCCGTGTTCCAGCGGGAGGACGGGCGGATGGCGACAAGGACGAACACCTGGTAGGCGAAGAGAGCCCCGCCATCTTTTAGGAAACTACCTTCATCAGCCTAAAACGAAGGTGGGGGAGGCGGTGAAAAACAGAAATATCGGCCAGGCTTGTCTGGCATGACGAAGGAGCTGATGACAAAAACATTTGGTGCGGTGTTTGTAAGCCAGAGGCCGGAAGAAGGGGCTTCCGTGCTGCTCAAGCTTTCGGAAACCCCCCTGCATTCGCCCAAAACAAGATGTGCTTGTCCCCTAGAGCGTCGGCCGGTCCGCAACCCCACGCCATCTCTCATCCTCGACCATCCAATGGTGTAGAGTAGCTCTCATGCAAACCGTGCCGAACAACTTTCGAAGCGCCCGCCCCTTCACACAAAAGAGACGAAACTCCGGACATTTCGCCGCCTCCTCAGGGTGGGGATCACCCGCACGCGGCGCAATTTCAACATACCTCGTCCAGAATGACCCGCACGCAGGCAGAGCGCCCTTCGAGGCAAGCCAGGTTCAAGGCGGTTCCGTCCGAAGTCCCCGCGTCGCTCGCCTCCAGCACGGCTGCCCTGGGCCCGGGGGCAAGGGCTCGGAGGATAGAGACGCAGGTCTCGGGGTGGCCGGCGACCGCGGCGACGTGAAGGGGCGTGAGCTGCTCGTGGGACTACAGAGAAGGCCGAGGGGGGGGGGGGGGNGGGGGGGGGGGGGGGGGGGGGGGGGGGGGGGGGGGGGGGGGGGGGGGGGGGGGGGGGGGGGGGGGGGGGGGGGGTCGTGGGTTGGAGCCTGGTGGTCTGTCGCGCTTGATTATTGGTGGAACTACGTATGTAAGGGATGAAGAGTAAGGCACGGAGAACACCCCGTGCTTGTCGGAGAGGTACCGAGGGAGACGTGCGCATGACAAATAGAGCGTGCCGGTAACCACTAACCCCACACAGCGCCAAGACGTAGATAGTGCCCGGTCAGCAATGTTTGATGATCATGATTCCGCTGGGCGCGCCCGGGGACCGGCCCAAAACTTCTCCAAACACTGCGACCTAGAGTTGATCTCGTTGTACAAACACACCCCGTGCAGTCTAGATCATCCACACGGACCCCCCACCCCCTACCACCCCCCCGAAGCAAGGGATATGTAGGGACTTCATGTGAAGGTTCCTGAAGGTGAACCCAGTGGCGGGTTGCCTGCCACAAGATGCACACCCCACGTGAAAACATAGCCAGCGGAGAAAAAAAAACGCGGGCATCGGTCTATTCAAGGAAGAACAGGGGATTCAGCTTGGGGTCAGATTGTTAAAGGACAGTCGGCCGTTGCCCCTCTGGGAAGAGTAGACCAAATGAACCCCGTTCAAACTGTGTGCAAACATGGGAACCGTTTTGGTTGTTGTCTCTTTCAAGCATTTCTTACTTTTCACCAATAGGAGAATCACTTATCTCCCGTGGACGATCCAGAAAGTTGCTATACCGCGAATCCGCCTGCCCGCGGGAACGCTACATGCAAGCTACAAACTCCCACTCTGTTGTTGTGTCCGTGAGTGTAGCAGGTAAAGGGTTCTCTGCCCGCCAAGTACAAAACAAAAACTCACCATCACGAGGGCCGCTCCCCTGCCTAGCTCTCCTTCCAGCAGAAGGGACACCTCGCCGGTCCCACCGACCGCCGCCGCGTGGTGCAACGCGGTTCTGCCTTCGTCATCGACGGCGAGAACCGCTCGTTCGCGGCTGTGCTCCAGAACCAAGCGGAGCACCGCCAGTCTCGTGTCGCTGGCAAGCTGGGGAAAGTCCGCCCCGCTGGCAGCAGCAGTGCAAGTAGCTACCGCCGCCGCCGCCGCCGCTGCTGTATTTGTGCTTCCCGCGGTAGGAGTTTGGGTCCGCACAGGGCGGGTGTCTGTCATAGCGACTGGACCTGGACGTGCGATAGTCGTTTCGTCCACTTGGCGTGTTGCCGTCTTGCAAACCGGAGCCTTGCTTGCTGTTGCGACCAATTCGTGTTCTCCAGAGCCGACAGTTCCGGCGACCCCATCGACAGGCAACGGAAGCCTTGGGGTACCAGGCAACGCGTCTGTACTAATCCCAAGATCTGTCGCCCCAGCTGCCTTTTCAGGCCTGTCCTCCGCACACGGCACGGTATTGCTAACCTTAGCGCTGCAACTGGTGTCGGGGAGAACTGTGGCAGCAGCGGCACTAGCAGCACCAGCAGTTGTGTCGAGCGGAGCCGCCGCCTCATCAGCGATGACCTTCCAGTAGCCCGCGGCGACCATGAGGAGGCTCAAACCACCCGGGAGAGGGGAGCTCGCCGACGGGGCTTCGATCTCGATGACCTTGTCGTCGTCCTTGGCAGTCCCTTCTCCTGCCCCGCCGTCGCGGGCATGACCACCAGCTGGCAAAGACACAACATCCGGACATGCCTCGGGCGGGCCCGCGGATACCAACCGTCTCACAGGAACATCCGACCTTTCCGCTTCGCGGAACGCCTCCTCAACCAGGGGGGCGTTCCCGGAAACAACCGCCATCCAGAGTCCCCGAACCATGGCCCTGAATCGCTCTTCCGCCTCCGTTTTCTCCGTTCCGGTCACTGTAGCCACGCGTGAAGCAGTTGCTGTCGCTGTTGCTGCTCGTCCTGGCGCCGCCGCCTCCCGGGCGGCGACCTGTGGTTTCAGCTTCTTCCGCATCTTGTCCTCCCACCTGGCGTGTTTCTTACCCTTTGGGTCGCAGTCCAGGCAGAAGTGCCTCCTGGTCGTTGCGTTTCGCGACGGAGCCGAGCACCCGTGGTCGCAACACGCGGGGTGTTCCCACAACCCACACGCATCGGAATGGCACTGCACCCAGCCCCCGTCGCCTGCACCACCACGGGCGTCGTCCCCACGTGTAGCCCCACACCGGCAACGGTACTCTTGCGAGATTTCCACCTGGCCCTCGGGCGCCCAGAACCCGTCGCTTTCCGATTCGCCGTCTTCTTCGGTGTGGTCGATACCGTCCCCGCCGACATCGCCGCTCCTCGCCACGCCGACACGTGACGAGCTCGGGTCATCGTTGGAACTAGAAGAAGATTCTTCGTCCCCGACGACGTTTTTCCGCAGCCGCACCCTCATTCCTTCCAGCCTGGACACCCGCTGAGAACGCCTCACACGCGGACTCCCGGCGCCGCCCGATCGCTGGCTACCCGAGGGAGTGTTTTCGCCAACAGAGGGCGATAGCGAGGTCGACGAGTGCGCGGGTGACGGCGCCGTAGGTCCATCATCGCCCCAGCGTGTCAGGGAGCGTCGTCCCCCTCTAGTCGCTCCCGCCGCTGCGGTGGATGACCCCTTCGCTTGGCAACCGCCGCAAACGTGGGCCTTTGCCTCACGCCTTTCCTCGCCGCGGCTATCTTCTGGCGCTTCTTCTGGGTACGCGCAAGCCAGGTGTTCCCACGTCCTGCACCTCGGGACGTCGCAGAGGATCCACCGAGAACCGTCCAGCCAATCCCGCGCGCCGCACCGGCACAGCACGGGCTCGTCGCTGCTGTTGCTGCTAACGTCGTCGCCGCCACCACCGCCACCGCTTCCCCCCGCCGGTCCATCATCGTCACTGTCCGTGTTTCTCAGGCAGTCGTCGTCGTCGTCCGAGAGTGCGAACGGGGTAACAGTCGAGGTCGCGCCACCACCACCGCCGACTTGGCTATCGCCGCTCACTGATCCAGCGTGTTTTCTCGACGGCTTCACTGTGGCCCCGCTTAGCAGGCTCTGGTCATCATCGTCATCATCGCCGGCGGACTCCAAGGGCTGAGGTAACCCTGCTGCAGTCGACCTGCGTATCGGACGCTTTCGCGCGCCGCTCCGAGTCGTTGTGCCGTCAGCAGTGTCACTGGTGGTTCGTGATGCTGATCGCGCCCGCCGCCGGGCGGCGTTGCCTCCTGTCCGCGTCGCCAGTCCCCTTGTTCCCGCGGCGGGCATGTCTTCCTCGAGCTCGAGCTCCTGGCCTTCCTCCTCGCTGTCCTCAGCATCATAGCAGCCAGCGTACAAGCTGTCCGAATCAGAACACTTCGGGTCTTTCCCGACTGCTGACTTTCTTCGGGGCGGGGGAGCTTTGCTATTGAGTGGGCGTTGCCTGTGCGTGCTGGCCTCCATTCTCGCACCTGATCTCGTGCTGTCGAGTCGCCCTCCCGATTTGGCGGTTGCGCTCCTCCCACTTCCTGCGACACGAGGAGTTTTCCTGGCGTCTTTCCGTCCATCCACCCATTGCCCCTGCCGACCTCCGCCGCCGCCTTCGTCGCTGCTACCACCGCTACCGTCGCTGCCGCTTCCGTGCCAGCTAGAAGAAGAGCGTCCCTCCTCTTGAAACTTATCTTTTCGAATGCCTCGCCTGCTTCTAGCAGGGGCGCATGATGCTGCGGACGCTGCCTTCGAGCGCCTCGCGGCCTTGCCTTTCCCTGGGAGGCAAATAAAGGAACGTGGTGCAGTAGAGGAGGTCAGTGATAGAGTTGACACCACCATCCATTTTCGCAGTTGGTCTACATTAACCGCGTGCTCATTTTGTCTAATTATTCTGACTCCTCCCTGTACATGATAGATCGTTTGGAAAAGGCGCAGCGTAGTAGTGTAATCGTGGCAAGTTGTGCATGTTGATGTATGAGCCGGGCGGTCATGTTGAACATCCCGTCACGCCCAGATCAGAGAAAGTGAGAGCACACACTGCTACATTTTTTACCCCCGTGCGACGCACACCCCACAGTTTTACCTTTCCCTCCCCGACTCTCGACACCCGAGGTTGAACCACCACAGCGCTCAAGGCGCGATCTTTTCTTGGGTCGTGTATCGTTGTTGCCTTTGCGGCTTGGTTTTTTCCTCGACCCAGACGAAGCACCCGCAGAACGCTCCAGGAATCGGCTTCGGGATGACTTCGTCGGCGGTGGCGAGACCTCGGCGTCGTCGCTATCGACTAGGTCTGATGCATCTGACGAAGACATGGGCTGTATTTTCTATGCTACGCCAGGTCAAGTGCCTATCACCTTCCACCAATGCCTTCCCCGTGGATGCACTTCAGCAACAGACTAAAACACACAATACACGTGTAGGCGCGGCGTGATTGCAGTGGGGTAATTACGCCGCGTTTTATCAATGCCGTTCTGCCGTTCTGCCGAGCGTGCACGGCAGCAGTCCTGCTCTCTTCCACCCTCCAAGTGTATGTTTCTCAGCTACTGCCACATCCCCGGTACGATGGTGCTGCGCAGCCTGTTCTTGGTTGCTTTGCCAACATCCTTAAGCCTCGGGAGTGCGTTCCTCCTTCCTTCCGTGCAGCATGTAGTGCTGCCTGACACTTCAACTACGATCGTACGGGATCAACATGACACAGGCAGCAGATCCGTGCTGTTGGCGGCAGCGCCAACCGCTGCTGGGGGAAGGAGCAGTACAGCAATGGCCAAGAAAAGTTTCCTCCGAAATCTGGAGCGCAAGCGAGCGGGGGAGGAAGTGGCCTCCTCGGCATTGAATGCTGATCTCCACGTGCTTCGGTCAACACCGACTCAGTCATCAACCACCACCGTTGACAACACGAAGAGTTGGAAGGGAACGTGGGAAATCTGCTACGCTCCTCACATTCAGACCCTCGCCAAGGTGAGTGTTGCAATCGCCGTGATTTCTGTATGGAACGAAGACGTGCTTGAAGAGCCGATCACATATCAAATGCTGAAAATAATTTCCATTATGGTTGCTTAGGGTCGTCCTAAACGACCTCGGAATTTTACCTGCGATCGCAGGTTTCAGACCCCGGATCGCAGAAAAATAAATGCGGGCGTTTTAAACGAAGCAGAGCACAAAATTAAAAAAACCAAATAAAAAAACCTGCGATTTCTGCGATTTTGGCGGTCAAACCGCTCCCGACGACCGCAGAAGCCGTACACAGCAGACAAACATCCACCATGGCCGACCAAAACAGTGTGACACCGCGGGTATCAAGGCCCAGGAGGGTTGGGTCCCTTCCTTTACGGTTCCAGACGAGCGGGGAAGCAGTTGCTGCTGCTGGTTATGGGTTAGGACGGCCTCAAATGCCTCCTGCTGTGGGCATCAGCCCTCCGCCAGGCATGTCTCGCCAAGCAGTTGGGTCCTCGCTTCTCCAAGTCTTCCACATGATCTTCCCAGGCAAGACGTCGGGGATTGTAGACAGGTGCCCGCTGCTGCGGCACGTACAGCTCAGCGGCCTGTGCTGCTGCCGTTGCAACACCGACCAGGACAAGGAAGGCCATCACGGCGGCCTTGATCACAGCAGTAGAAGTTGTATCATGGTCTCTTTGGTCGGAGCGCCGCAGTCGCCGCCTTTGCGGAGCCGTCTGTGAGGTTCCCCGAAGCTCCCGGCGCCTTCTATTGTCGGCCATGGACCCTAGCCTACTCTGGCGATCAGTTCTGGGGGTTATAGTGCAGCTACGGGGGTGATACAGGTGGCTTGGTGTGCTGTTCCCGATCCAACGCGATGCTCTCAAGAGAATCGCAGAAATCGCAGGTTTGTACCTGCGATCGCAGAAAAGGAGCGGAGGTGATTTTTTCGGCCCTGCTCCCGACCTGCGATCGCAGGTAAAAAGCCTCCATATTCGCAGGTAAAACCTGTGATCGCAGGTTTCGCAGGTATTTTTTGGCCTGTTTAGGTCGACCCTTACACCATCCGGACGGTATTGGGGAGAGTACGATGTGGTGGGTGCGGGCCGATCCCCCCCCCCCTTGACCCTCGCACGTGTCGGTAGCTGGCGGAGCGACCAACGGACGTTCGGTAGTTGACAGGGCCAAGGCCTGACGCGCATCACCATGCACTTCAGCCGCGCTTTTTCAGCAACTCCTCAGTCACACGCAAAACTCGCGACAGGTGATTTTGACAGAGTTCCCGAGCGTCTTGTACAACTTCGTGTCTGACGACGGTAGGATGGTGTCTCACTCCCGGTACGAGAGCAAGGTGTTTGGGTCGGGTTGGTTCAACGCCGATGGCAGGGTCGTTGTGCTGCCGGCATCGGAGGGGGGTACCAACGAAGCTCCGCGACAGACCGTACAGGTATACACCACCAACGAGGGCCACGGAGAAGTACGCACGCATGTAGCCGGCTGGAGGTAGGACTTGGACCGACGTGCTTGTTTTCAAAGGAAAGTGGCCCCACGAAATCGTACAAACATGTATCATGGTCGCCACTGGTGATGTCGCTGTTGAAGTTCTTTATGTTTCTTCCAGGAGGAAAGCGGGCCGGGAGTTCTCATGCATTCTTTCATTACCTTGTTGCAAAATCGCCATTTTCAATGGTATTGTCGTTCAGGTTATTTTCGAGCGTTTTTGGTGGGACAGAAGCGGCGAAGACCGACCGACGGGAGAACCGCCCGGACCCTCGGCGACGCCGGTGGATGGGTTTGTGCAGGCGGCTGGCAAAGCCATGTTCTTCGACCGGCTCTCGGTGTTTCCCGTGCATTATCTCGATGATGACTTCTGTTTGTTCGAATTCAAAGCTGCCGGTACCGTCGTCGCCTCCCAGCGAATTGCGTAGATGTTGGGTGGAGTGAAGCGGTCGCATAGACGATAAACGTACTGGAGCCGTGGTGTGTGTGTTTTGTTTTTTTCCATTTTGCGGTTGACGCAGTAACCTCGAGCTGCTCCGAAGACTGGGTGGCATACCGCTTTGTACAAATGCATGCATATCAGGTGCATAAATAATGCAGAGCTGGGCAGCAAATACATGATGACCGTTGTTGCTGTCTCGGCAGCCAAACGGAAGACTGTCTCGACAGCCCAACGGAAGACACTGTTCGGGTGAAACGGTTGCTCGCTGTGGCGTCGTGAATCACTAGTCATGTAGTTGTGCCACAATGCAGTTAGACCAGATGTTAAAGCTTGAAGTGCAGTTTTGAGAGGGTGCTAGTGATGGTGAGCACGCGATCCTGCTTGGTGTGTTTCGTTCCATCAATAAACGGCGTTGTTCACCGTGCGGTTTCGCTAGCTGGATTCTGCACGGTTTGGTCACCATGTAATGGAGGGCACCGCTTCGATGTGAAGGCTATAAAATAGTGGGCAGAATCCAAACCGGGAGCCAACAACAGGAGGCGCCACAGATGATGGATGTCACATCGAAGACAGTCACAAGGCAAAGACCTCCCTTATGCCCCCCCGTGCGTAGGCATTATCAAAGTTGACGTACACCATGTACCCACGAACTTCTGCGATTGCTCGTCGTCACATAGGCATGGGTGCGAACAGGGTGGATTCCGCGTACAAGTACCCCCTGCGTGTGATACAGGTGAACCATGGGGGCACCGCCTCAATCCTCTCCGGCGCTGGAAAAGACGTTTCCTACGAGGCAATGAAAAACTGAAGGAAACGCCAAGAACAACATTAATTTTTCTCTTGGGTCGAAACCACATGTGCAGCAAGCAGCGTCCGCTTTCCCAAAACGTCTGAAACGCTATTGACACGCTCAGTGTCACCTTGACTGTGGATTATCTCGGTTGAGCTCCGTCAATATGCATGCTTCAGAGCCAAAGCACGCAATCAATAGCAGCCTCTCCGCACGCTGGATGGCACGCTCAACACACAAGCCAGCGTCCATTGGAACTTGTCCTGGGTCACTGCGATAGCATGGGCGGCTCTAACGAACGCTACAGGGCCCACGATGTCCGCGCCGGGTCGCACGACAATCAAACCACCTCATACATGTATCGACCGTTGTCCGGGCAGACAACACCACGAAGAACACGCAAAAAATTCTAATGCAAAATATACGCGTGTTCGAGCCTTCCAATGCACTTGCCGTTACAGCCACGCTACCCCCCTCGACACCCCACCACCCCTCAAGACCAAGCGCTATGCTAGACCACACGGCATCAGGCCATCCGCGGTATTGGTGCGTCGCCATCAGCTAATTAGAAGTCGGGAATGCCACACGCGGACTGGATTATATCGCGTGTCAGCATCCCTTGAAAGTCATGCTTGTCCGCCTCTCCTATCCACCGTCTGAGAGGTTCATTGCAAGGTTTCAAGCGATGGGGGCACAGGCAACACAAAGTTCAGCCGTAACATCCATTCCAATGTCCACGGTGCGCGAGGAGCACGAACGAATCATACACCACGAATGCATAGACACAACCCCTACAGCCCAACATTTGACGTTGTTTTGTCTCTCAACACTTCGGCATACAGCCCGCCGTCTTCAGAACTCGGGGATGCCACAAGCGGACTGAATAATGTCTCCCGTGAGCATCCCCTGAAAGTCATGTTTGTCTGCTTCTCCGATCCACCGTCTGCGGTTTCGGCAGTGGAGAGAGGCGGAGGATGATGCGTTGGAACATGACAACGATGAGTAATGACGGCAGAGGAAGCAACGCATCAAATACGTTGTCGTGTGACATGAAAAGAAGCGTGCTGGGAGCGACGGTCTATTAAGTGTTCCGCAGCTTCTAGTGGTGGTCAAAGGAGTGCTCGCGGTTCAAAGCGTTCTCTGGTGGGCATAACGTCAACGACGACGATGATAACAACACCAACCAACGCCAGCACGAGCAAGAGAAGCAAAGAGACCCAAAACGCCAGCACGACTGTCGCTTTCTCTCTACGTCCCCAACCCAGGAGCTCACCCTGATCCCTTGTCGAAAATGTACCGGTGAGGCCCCGACCTCGGCGACATGAGGCAAATCTGGTAAATGCTGAGGTCGAATTTGATCCAGTATGTGCCGACCTCTGGCCCAAGCTCCGCGAAAACCTCCAGCCCCTCCCGTCGCACCTGTGAGGCAAAACGGGTGCTCTCATTTCAGCGTCCACAACGCATTAAGCTTGGGACAGCGATCTCGCCTTGAATTGTGGGGCCCATGCGTTTGACAACCGAAAAAGTGTCCAATAAAGCAAAACATTTACAAGGTAGTCGGATTTCCTGTCGACTGGGCCAGGGCCCCCTGATCCCCTCATTCAAGGAGAAGGGGGCTAAACACCCCCCCAGATTATACAGTTACTGCACCAGAAAGGCCGAGGGCGTGTTTTACAAAGGACGGGTGCGCCCCCGTTCTCCCCTCACCTCGAAGACATCGTTGAAAGGCTCCATGGCCTTGAGGGCCTTCTCGACCTTGTCGATTTCTTCCTCTCCGGCCTTGCGAATCTCCTCCTTGGACAGCTCACCGAACTCCTTGTTGGCCTGCTGGGCCTGCGCGCTCATGTTCTTCCACTCGTACGACGACATGGCCCGTGCCATCACCACCGCCGTGGTCGTCGTTGTTCCCCCTCTTCTCTCCGAAGAAACAGGCGAGGGGGATGCAGATGAAACGGAGCGGCGCATCTCGGGCCATGGGCGGTCGGGGGCGCGAGGGGTGCGGCAGAACGGCGGCGGCCGCCGCCGGCCACCGGGCCCTCGAAGGGGGCCGTCGTTCGATGGCGCAAGAAGCGATGGCAACGAGCGCGACACGAACCCTCTTTGCCACACGCGCGGAGAGGCGCGCGATAGCCTCCTCGGTGGTGCTGCTGCCGCTGCTGCTGCGCAAATGGAGCAGAGCATGGCAACAAAGTTTTGGGAAGGGGCCGGTACAGACATTTTGAGACGGTGTCGTTCGACTTCGGCAGCACTTGACAAATTGAGGGCGTGTACCAACCTCGCTTCCCAGAAGAGGGGACAGGGATAAAGGAACAAGGACATCAGAGTTACGGTCTGATTGACCAAACACACAAAAACAACGCTGCTGGAAATAAATGCGGCCTTCCGGGTTCCTACTTCGGATGATACGCCCGCACCATAAGGTCAATAAACAAGTTTCATCAATTTACCAATAGACCATGTGGAACGTGGAACCCGGACCCTTCCGTGCCAGTTCAGGACGTTGTGGGATGTGTGTGTTCAATTCGGGCATGTCGCTTCCACAGGTGCTGCATCCTACCCGTTCATGCGATATGAATAGGCTTTGCCACCATCATTAGGTCCCTCTCTTGCAAAAAAAACGCAGCGCATGCTTGTGTAGCCGTTGTATTGGGCAAGACATGCATACGTATGCAAAGGGAGGGTCAAAGAGGACGGCAAGTTCTACCGTTCGCAGCAACTAACTCAAGCACAACCCTTCCAGAGCATAGCACTCGAGGTGGCGGATTGAACGAGCACCGCCTGCTCTCCACTTCTGTACCTATGCACAGGACATGTGAATACTGTGCGCTCTAGCCCAAATGTTTCCATCAACACCGACACCACTCCTTCTCCTGTAGAACGACTCTTCTTTTTATGTAACATGGTTGTTGTTGCCTCCGGGTACATCCGCGGGCAGAATTTTTTGCAACCTGTTCGTGACTCTTCCTAGCCTTGACCCTTTCCAGCGCCATCTCGCCGTTCCGCATTCCGAGAACGCAGGAACGCGGGGCAGCCGCATTCTCGACCAGTTCGCGGCCGCTAGGCCGTGCTTTGGCCGTGGGTGAGGGTTAAGGTCGATGTGGGGTGAGGAACCTAGCCTTGCTCGCGTGAGGAACCTAGCCTTGCAAAGTGTAACATCGGTTAGCCTAAAGAGTCACTAACAGAATGTAAATAGCAAGGCTCCTCTCGGGAACGATTTCTCAATTCGGTAACGATTGGTACGGGAATCAGCATACACGGTAATATTTGGGTGGTAACTGGCCATCATGGTAACGTTTGGGTGGTACCTGGCCACCACGGTAATGCACGGAAATATTTGGGTGGTAAGCGCCCAGTACGGTAACTCCCGTACGGGAACTAGCCACCACGGTAATGCACGGAAATATTTGGGTGGTAAGCGCCCAGTACGGTAACTCCCGTACGGGAACTAGCCACCACGGTAATGCACGGAAATATTTGGGTGGTAAGCGCCCAGTACGGTAACTCCCGTACGGGAACTAGCCACCACGGTAATGCACGGAAATATTTGGGTGGTAAGCGCCCAGTACGGTAACTCCCGTACGGGAACTAGCCACCACGGTAATGCACGGAAATATTTGGGTGGTAAGCGCCCAGTACGGTAACTCCCGTACGGGAACTAGCCACCACGGTAATGCACGGTAATGTTTGGGTGGTCACTCAGCACCACGGTAATGCCGCGGTAGGGGACCACCACGGTAATCCACCACGGTAATGCACGGCAACGTAGGATGGAAACACTCCACAAAGCGATGCACTGTAACTGTGTTGCGTTTCTTTTCAGTGCGCTTGACAACCAAACAGCGCGTTCCACAAAAAAACACGAAACACACGAATGGAACCGATCGCATTTCGATTTTCAATTGTTTCATTTTTCAATTCTTTTGAGACTACAGGCGAAAATCTCGCGGTCAAGTTACCGAAAGACGAGGCAAAAGGCAAAGGATGAACCAAACGAACTACATCACTACGTCCAGAGCGACAATTCGAATTATCCACCACTTGATCACTGACCGTATCTATCTCAGCTACGTGAGGACTTAAAACACCAAACTTATGTGCCAGACGATGATAAACCACCAGCTACCACGTACTTACACGCATGCATATCGAGCTCAACCACAAGCAAAGTGTACCGTATCTGCGTCACACCGCAGGCAAGCAGTTCAAACACAACAAACAAAAAAATACACCACTACAGACGGCTAAGTTGGAAGCGACGCGCTGCAAAGCTCGTTGTTGGTGAACTTGATCGATTTCATAAGTCGCGAGGGAAGGGATTGCTGTACCCTTTTCGCGATAAAAATATCTCAGGCAAGAACCGTCGGAGGGGATCCAGCCCCCCCCTCCTACGTGACCCCGGTTGGGTCGTCTAGCTAGTAGAAGTGGAGGATGGGGGCCAAAGGGGCAGACGACAGAGTCCAATCATAGGAGAAGAAAGAAAAAAAAGACGGCAATACTCAAAACCAATACCATATATTCCAAGACTCAAGGCACATAGAAAGAAAGGCTCCCTTCCGTTTGATGGATCGATACATAATAAGAGAGATGAACTACACGGAAGAGCAAAAAAAAAGGAACACGTACAGTGCTGCAAATGCCCAGACTGCCCCCTCAGCTACGTGTACGGGATATGTTTTGTTCCCGTACGGTACCGGGAATTCTACACCTTGCCGGTAATTGCTTGGGTGGTAACCAAAAGCCACGGGATTTCGACATTTTGCACGGTACAGTACTGGGACCTCTATAGTGCAAGGGTGTGCCCAGAAACTTTACCTGCACTATAGCGGGCACCTGCACTAATCAGAACAGTGCGTCAATAGTGCAGGTTCGGCACTATTGAGACATTGAGTATACCTCAATAGTGCAGGTCCGGCCCTGTTGAGGAGATGTTTGATTTCATGGTGTGGCGCTCATGCTTTGCAGGGCGAACAGAGTACGAAATGGATCGAATTACAGTGGTAGTGCTGGCTGTTCTAGCGTGGGCGTGGGCAGACTGTCCCGCGACGCGTGTGATTCCCCCCTGCCGCACACACAGAGATGTTGTAGAAAAAGAAGAAAAACCTGCACGTTGCACCGTGGATTTATTCCTGTCTCAGCACTCGTGCTGTACTGCACACCATGAATTGACGCACGAACCAACACTTCAACATTAATACTTAGTTCTCGGTACCCCCTTTCAATGTTGCAAGATAAAAAAAAATATGTAACACGCCAGGAAGCGCACTACAAGAAATCAAACAACCACTACTGCTATCGCTGTACCCCCCGCCCTCACTACGTCGAAAATTTTCTGATCTCTGCCTGGCGCATCCATCGACTTGAGAATCTCAAGCTTCATGTTGTTGTCCGGCCGCACACGAGAACCAGAACCCTTCTTACTCCCCCCCTTGGTTTCGTTCGGGCGTTTAGATGGTCCCGCCCCAGCACCCGAAGCTGGTGTCGCTTTGCGCTTGCCAGCCTTGGCGACGCCCTTGCTCCAGATGCGGTGCTTTTCGTTGTCCTCAAACATGCTGCCTCAATTGCCGTGGAGCCGCCCGCCACACCCTCCCTTGCAGACGTGGCCATTCGGGGCTCGCGGCGTTCTGTCTTGTTGATGGCTCAGTTCACCGTTCGCACAAGGCATGGTACGCCTCGGCGTAGAGCTCTTCGAGTCTGCAGCAGCACATGTCCCCTGGTTTCTGTGTTGGGCCTGTCCGCGGTCTTGTCCGTGTGTGTGTTTTTGTTATTAGCATCGACCGCGCTAACCGGCTGACCAACGGTCAGTCTTAGTGCGATTGAAATCATAAAACACTTCTAAATGCCACTAACGGGTTTTTTTGAGGGAGCGGCTTGGGGCAGGCTAAGCTATTCTCCGGATCAAAGACAGAAACGGTAGCAACGGAATAAAACTGCACGGGTCGATGAAGGCTGCTACATTGCACTCTAGTTCGTTTTGGAGTGCTTTCACCGCCACCCTCCTTCCTCCCAACTCCATCGTTCTCACATATCGTTTGTGTGTGTCCAACCTACACTACTGCGGGGCACCGCGGTGCCCAACCTGCACTTTAGCAGGACCGCTCTCAATAGTGCAGGACCTGCACTATTGAGAGCGCTGTCTGTGTCCAGAGATTTTACCTGCACTATACCGGGCACCTGCACTTTTCAACCTGCACTATAGAGGGCCCAGTAATGTAATTGGTTGGGTGGCAACAACGGGATTTCATGTCCTTAGTGACGCTTTGGATGGGAATGGGAGAAGGCCATTTGCTCGGGAATGATTTGGATGGGTACGGTAACCGGAAATTATCACGGTAACGTTACCATTTACCGTTCCCGTGGAAATCCCGCGGGAAAAGTATTGCGCGAAAATTCGAGAGGAGCCTTGGTAAAAGGACCCTCCCGTAGGGCCGCGCGCGCTGTAATGTTCTCGGTTCTTCCATGCCTGAATACAGCTGTTGATGCCAATGGTACATGGAACACCGACCAGGGTTTTCGAGTGCCCTGTTCCTTTTTTGATCTAGCGGGCTATTAGTAGATGCCCTGAAAGGGACAACACCGGTACTGCACAGAAAATGTATGATGGTAAGATGGATATCTTGGCCAGCACAACTAGCCTTGAAGTTAACGCCGTGCGTCTGACTCGTTGAGAGATTTCACCTCTCTTGAGATGTATTTAGAAGATAACGAATTCACGAAATGCAACAGAGCGCGAGTTGAGCCACACAACGTAGACATCGAGTCCGTCATTGATGCACTACTCTCTGCTCAGTGGGGCCTTCGCGCCGAATGCACTCCTCACCAACGCTGCCATCCATAACGAGCAGCGAATGGCCTGTTCATTCGTCACAGAACGCCGACAGGTGAGGTGTAACACGACTCGGGGGAAGGACGCCCCACAACCAATAAACACACCGCCATTCCCCATTGCAGCACCACCTCGCAGATCCTTTTCAGCAAAACAAGACCGGTGCCGCTGCAGAATCCTAGGCTTTCGATTGAGATTCAGGTCTCGTGTTGTGGCTGGCCCTGCTGTCGGAGCTGTTCGTTGGGGGCCTGGGTGTTGCAACTGCTGTATTCGACGGGAGGAGGGACTCACCTCTAGAGAGCGCCGACATAGCGCCGCGCGGACGACCCCTCAAACAGGCAGAGTCCAACCTTCTCTCAGCTGTTCACGCACCAGCAGCAAAGAAGAGAGCTCTGTGTTTGGGCAACCACACCACCCACGCGGAAGCTTCTGGGATGGGGGGCTGGATCACAGCAGGCTGGCCAATACAGGGTGTACATCAACACTTTCTGCTTTCTTCTGTGCCCCCACCCACGCCGCCCGAATCCAAACTTTCAAAACCGGACAGGTGGACGAGGACCAGCCGAGCCAGCACACAACGTACTGCATACCGGCGCTGCGTACCTATCCGAGCACAGACACAAAAACACCGTGTGTTTGAGAGAGACAGGCATGATGTTTACGGGAAGGAGGGCAGCGCAGGTGGCAGTGCTTGTCGCTACGCAGGCATGGCGCGGGGATACGGAATGCGCGTTCAGGTTAGGTGAGTCCGACAGCGCAAGTGGCGTGATCGAATTCACCTCGAGCGTGCAGAGTTGGGAAACACACACACACAAACATTGGTGGAGTCTTTAGCGCCTACTCTCTGCTGCTTTGGAGGCACGGAGTTGGATTCCCCTCGTGCTCCCACGCCCCGCCGCAGGAGGCGTGTGTGTGCTGCTGCGGATGCTGCGCATGGCGTTGTTATGGTCGGTGTGCCGTTGTGCAGTCTCCCATCCACGGGCGTGGGACAAAGCAGGGTTCGTCTTCATTTCCCCGACACGCCTTGCCCCATTCGTTAATTCCATCTGTTTTTGTTTTTTTTGGCTTCTTGGCGTGGGGGCAATTTTTTATTTTCGTTTCTTGCGCAACAACAGACGGATATCTGGACATCAACCAACCGCTCACGCTGATCGCGCCATACGTGGACCCGGGCAGCGGCTACAGGCTCATCAACCCCTACAACCCTATCGTGTACCTAGGTGAGTCCCCTGTGATGCCACCCACGCACATACCACCGCCGACACACCGCTCGCTCTCTCTCGCTTTTTCTGAAAGACAGAACAGATTTTTCCGAAGTGAGAGGAGGGGGTTGGCTGTTGGCTATCTGACCTGAAGAGGCGATTGATTGCTCCATGTTCGGCCGTCACTTGCTTGCGACAGCAGCAGCAGCCGCCGTACCCAGCAGTTTCAAAAATAATGTTCGAAACGTCGCTCTACAAGCACTAGGCCACTGCTCCTTCTGCCGGATTGATGGGCGAGCGACTGTTTTAAAGGGAGGTGATGCTCCATCCATCTTTCTCTGTTTCATCACTCTGCTGCGATTTTTTTGTTTCCGCTTTCTTCGTCCGGTTCATGATTCAAATCTCCGATCTGGTGGGAGGTGCGGCTTGTGTGAAGCTATGGGTGACAAACAGAGAAATTTCCTCGACTGCTTTTTTTTGTCCGGCGCGAGGGGTTGCCGATGCAACCGACGTGCACGGGGCGTAGTAGGGGCATGGTTGAACAACCCCACGCTCGCCAACGATTTTTCCCGCGCCGCAATTGGTTTCCACTGAACCCACCGATCATTGTTTTGATTTGGTGAACCTCTTACTTGAAGTGGGGATGCGTCAAGGTCCCTGCTTTGCACTGATGAAATGAGTTACACACGGCGGTTGCTGCGCGCATCCTTAAATCAAAAAGGAAGATGCGGCTTCAAGAAATGACGCACTCAGTGTTTTTTGGTCGGATAGGCATCGAGACCGCGCTAAAGTATGCATAAGTAATCACAACAACAGACAGAGTGTACAGCAGCATGTGCGGTTTTGGTTTCCCTAGGTTATCTTTGTGTGACGTATGCGACGTGCGTTCAAATATCTGCAGTGACAACGAAGTTTGAATCCTCTCACAAAAACGTACCGTATCTTACTGCCCGGTGGAGAGAGAGGCACCGTTCATGCCATACAAGAGTGGCATATTCATACTTCCACCTCGCATTATTTTTTTTCTTCATCATGGCCGAGGACGAGAGGCAGCCAACGATTAAATAAAACGTAGAATACCACCGCCGAAGGAAAGCGGAGAGAAGCAAGAAATCTCCCTGGTGCAGGCTCTTGGGCCCTGTTGTTGTGTGGTTGTGTAGCCTTGGGCTTGTGCTTCCAGAACTTAATGTATACCGAAAGTCATCCAAGGCTGACGTCCAGACGACAGGGGGCGATGCACGCACACACGCACGGCGGGAGAAGCACTCGAAGGGAGGAGTCTGTTGCCTTCTCTGCGTGGGTAGGCGAAGGCGCGAACGTGGAGGGAGTGACCGCTTTGACCGAACTTCGATTCATTAGCTGAGGTTCCGTATTTGTATGCGTACCATTCGCGTCCATTAACCCCCGAAACGACAACATAGTTGTATCCAGGGAATATAGGCGTTGAGAGTTGAGAACAGTTGGAACGCGACCCAGAAGAATCTCACGGACGTCCAACGCGCTGAAACTAAAATTTGGTGGCACAGGCCCCGACGGGTTCGACGAGGAGTCAAAATAGACGAGGAAATGAGGCCACATGGTAGTACGACGGGCAGATGTCGCGGCAGCAATGTGACGTCTTGGTATTGAGTTGCGTCCATGTACGTACCCTTTCCTTGCTAATAGTGTGTTTGTTCTGTGGATCTTCTGATGGCTCTAGCATTTTTGTGACCACGGACTGAGTCTTCGCTAGATTTTGGGATTAGCAACAGACACGAGTTTAATTTAAAGAAAAACAACAACAACAACAACAACAACAACAACAACGACAACAACAGTGCTTCAGGAATCACGCTCGCGTGATTTTATGCATCTCGCTCAAGAACCGACGTCTTCCTTACATGCTATGGACGTCGAGTGCTTCACCCCGCGGTATCATCTGATGACTTTTGCAGTTCGGAGCTGAAGGATTGTCTTGCGTTCCGCGTTTTTTCTTTTTTTAATAATAGTTTTTTTTTGTGAAAAGCGTGTCCCGTTAGGGGTACGCTTTTTGTTTTGTTTTGCAAAAAAAAAGCTGTTTAGAGGGATCGTGGGTGGAGTATGTGCGCACGAGAAAAAGAATAATTTTCATGCACATGGGCGTGAAAATTTAGCCATGGCTGTCTGTCTGTCGGGTGTCTGTCTGCGCGCCCTAAATACCCAGCAGACTCGAGCCCATCTCACCATTTCGGCACCAAATTGCAAACTAAAACTTGCGCACAAGTAATATTTTGCCCGAGCTATCCCAACCGCTACCTTTGCAATCCGTGCTCGGTGTCTCGAGATAGCACACCGTTTGTGCAAATATATATGTCACATGGACGCATCCCCGGGAGGCGTCGTCATTTTTGTTTTCCTCTGGGCAACAAACTACACGCACGCAAGAAGAAACCACGACGCACTGCCGTGCTGCACACATTGCTGCTGCTACTGGCAAGACACGCACTACACAGAGACAGGGAACATGGACAAGGGGGGCGGGACACGCACACATACTGCTGTTAGCGACGGCGGAGGAAGCGAGGAACGTTTGGTTGGTCTGGGGTTCATCGCTG